CGTACTAACGTCCCTTTTGCCTGGGGACACTGCATTTCATGCACGCAGGTCCTGATAGACAGGTCGAGAGCCCTCCAAATAGGCTATCAGCTCAGCGGAAGATGTTGGTGCGCTCCATTTGCTTCGGAGCTGCGTATTTGGTTAGTATGATTTAGACATCTAATGTTTGGTATGGCGGAACTCTGTTCTGACCTTTGTGACACTTATGTACTCTTAGAGGCTTGTAGACATATGTCGTGTACGTGGAAGATTGTACGGCCATGTCGGCCTATGTTTGAGTTCATAAATGATTATGTTAGCCTATTAGGCCCATATGTCACATGTATATAATGATGTAATAAGAAAGGTACATTACGTTAGTACTCAGTCAAGTAAGGTACTGGGTGCCCGTCGTGGCCCATCGGTTTGGGTCATGACAGAAAGTTGGAGCCAACCTTAAGGGGCCGCTTATGTATTTTGCCTTTAAAGTATCCTAGGGAAAATTACACAAATATCTCAAATAAATCTTAACTTACCAAACTCTAGCTATTGGTCATAGACTTATCAAACTAGCCAATCACATATAAAAATAAAAAAATCAAATAAATAAGGTTCTTTCTCTTAAAGAATCACATGCAAAAATCACCTTCCATATTTCTAAGCGTGATTAGCAACATTAGATACAAGACGGAAAGAAAATTTTATGGGTAATGTAGCAAATAAGGTGATGAAATATATATATATATAAGTAAAAAAGGAACATTTTCAATGGGTGTAGGTGAAATTCATTGAAACATATAGATAAGTCAATATACAAAATTTGAGGAACAATGGAGGTGATTTGTACTGGTTTTGTATCAAAATTCATAATTAAATCGAGTTCAAAAATTTTTTCTGTGACACATGTATCACGCATGTATCTCACACACAGGTATACATGGACATACATGTGATACACAATTGATACAAATATGATACATATGTGATATACAAATGACACAGTGTGATACACATATCATTTTTTATGTTCAGTTGTTACTTCGAATTTTCAATTCAAACCATCTCAAAACTTCACCAAATCATCCCAAAACAGAGATTCAAGCTCCTTAAGAAGTACCCAATCTATTCAAATAACACCCACTCAAAAAAGCAAAAAATTGACCTTTTATTTTTGCTACAAATAGCTAATTGACTAATATTAGTAATATTTTATGAATTGTCCAATTTTTGTAATGAGTTGCTTATAAATGGACATAGCTGGTAGTTTCCCGCTTTAAAAGTCGTTGTTGCTCCAATTAATTTGTATAAATGATACCACATCCCCTTTTAGTGCTATAGCGAACATTTGAAACTGAATGAAAATTAGTCACAACAAAGTAATTGAAAATAAATCAACAACAACAACAATAATAAAATCTCACTAATGGGGTCTGGGGAGAGTAGAGTGTACGCAGACCTTAACCCTACCCCGAAAAGGGCAGAGATGCCGTTTCTAGGAGACTCTCGGCTCAACAGGAGAGATAATAATATCAGAAAAGAAATAAGAGAAAAGACATGTAATAACAAAAGAAACCAGAAAGAAAATAACTACAACAAATAAGTGAAAGGACAATAACACAAAAACTATGCAAAACAACAATGTGAATACAACAAAAACCGCTAACAAATCTAAACGAAACTCTATCAGACTACCCGATACAAAGAGGGAAGAACTCACGACTACCCCCTAGCCTATCACCCTAATGCTCAACCTCCACATGTTCCTATCAAGAGCCATGTCCTCAGAAATCTAAAGAAGCATCATGTCCTGCCTGATCACCTCGCTCCAATACTTCTTAGGCTACCCTCTGCCTCTTCTCGTACCTACCAAGGTTAACCGCTCACACCTCCTAACCGGTGCATCTAGGCTTCTCCTCCGCACGTGTCCGAACCATCTAAGCCACGCTTCCTGCATCTTGTCATCCACAGGAACCACGCCCACCCTCTCCCGAATATCTTCATTCTGAATCTTATCCAGCCTAGTGTACCCACACATCCATATTAATATCCTCATTTCTGCTACTTTCATCTTCTGGATATGTGAATTCTTGACTAGCCAACGCTCATCTCCATACAACATGGACGGTTTAACCATCGCTTTATATAACTTACCTATGAGTTTTGGTGGCACATTCTTGTGACACAAAACTCCAGACGCTAACCTCTATTTCATCCACCCCACTCCAATACGGTGCGTAACATCCCCGTCGATCTCCTCATCTCCCTGGATAATTGATCCTAAGTACTTAAATCTTTCTCTCTTGAGGATGACCTAAGAGTCAAGCCTGACTTCCACATCCGCTTCCCATATCACGTCGCTGAACTTACATTCCACATATTCCATCTTAGTCCTACTCAACTTGAAACTTAGACTCTAGAGTCTGCCTCCATACCTCCAGTCTCCCATTAACGCTGTCTCGCGTCTCATCAATCAGAACTATATCATCAGCGAACAACATACACCATGGTACCTCTCCTTAGATATGGTGTGTCAGTGCGTCCATCTCCATAAAAAATAAGAATGGGTTGATCGCAGATCCTTGGTGTAATCCCATAACCATCGGAAAAGGCTTTGAGTCACCTCTCACAGTCCTAACCCGAGTCATAGCTCCATCATACATATCCTTTATCGCCCTAATGTAAGCCACCAGAACACCTTTCACCTCCAAAGGACGTCCCTAAGGACTTTATCATATGCCTTCTCTAGGTTAATAAACACTATATGCAAATCTCTCTTCCTATCCTTGTATAGTTCCACCAACCTCCTGATAAGGTGGATAGCTACGGTAGTAGAACGACCTGGGATGAACCTGAACTGGTTTTCCGATATAGACACCGCCCTCCTTATCCTCCCTTCCGCCACCCTCTCCCAAACTTTCATGGTATGACTTAGTAACTTGATACCCCTATAGTTGTTACAATTCTGGATATCCTCTTTGTTCTAGTACACTGAGACCATTGTACTCCACCGCCACTCATCAGGTATCCTCTTTGTCCTGAAGATAACATTAAATAACCTAGTCAGCCACTCCAAGGACCCGCATATCTCCAAACCTCTACTGGAATCTCGTCAGGTCCAGTCGCTTTGCCCCAACTCATCTTACCCATCGCAACCACGACCTCCTCAACCTTAATGCGCCTATAATACCTAAAGTCTCGGTGACTCTTGTAGTGCCCCAATTTCCCTAGCACGATGTTTCCACCCCCCCTCTTCATTCAGAAGTTTATGAAAGTTCGACTGCCATCTTTGCCTAATCTGGGCCTCTTCCATCAATACTCGACCGTCCTCATCTTTGATGCACCTCACTTGATCGAGGTCGTGAGCCTTCTTCTCTCTCGCTTTGGCCAACCAAAATAACTTCTTGTCCCAACCTTTGTCCCCAAGTTCCTCATAAAGCCAACCAAAAGCAACAGTTTTAGCTTCTGTGACCGCTACTTTCGCATCCTTCCTAGCCTCCTTATATCTTTCTTTGTTCGCTCTCCTCTGATCCTCATCGGTACTCTCTACTAACTTAATGTACGCCGCTTTCTTGGCTTCCACTTTACCTTGGACCACATCATTCCACCACCAGTCGCCTCGGTGCCCGCCATAATACCCTTTCGAAACTTCCAACACCTCTCTTGCTGCCTCCTTATACAGTCTGTCGTCGCCGTCCACATAGCGCTAGCGTCCCCACCACTCTTCCAGGCACCCATATTCGTCAGTCGCCCCTCCAACTCCTGCCCATTATCCTTGGACAAAGCTCCCCACCTGATCCTCGACGGACCCCGTACAAACCTCTTCTTCCTCTTCATCAAAATACTGACGTCCATCACTAGGAGCCTATGTTGAGTTGCAAGGTTCTCACTCGGGATCACCTTGTCCTTGCACAACCCCCTATCACATCTCCTGAGGAAGAGATAAATCATCCTAATTTTAAAATGTAATAAAGTATTTTTCAATTATTTTATAAGGGTTGTTATATTTCAATAACCAAACATAATAATTAAAAAGAAAACATTAATCTTTGAAACCCTTTTACTTCAAAATGGAGAGTTACCTTTACAAAGTGTTTTTACTTCAAAAGTTTGTTGTGATGTGTATGAATAAACAAGTAATTACCAACAAAATGAATTCTTGGTTTTAATTTTTTTTAAATAAATAAATAAGTATTTGCAACAAATTTTCGATATACGAACAATAAACTACACTCAAAAAATAAGAAAAAATAATTTTATTAATTAATTATCAGTGTAATTATATTTCTCCTTTGATTCTTCTCTCGTGGTTATCTTCCTATATACTTAAACTCAAATGTCCATTATTTCACCATTTTAATCCAATAATTCACTGGGAATTTCAACTTAATAGAAGAACTTATTTCAAACAAATATATTCACCTTTATTTTTTCTTAAAAGCAAAAAATTGTTTATCGCGTAACCATCTAAATAATTTGGAAAAGGTAAATTTCACAAATAATCATATAACTATATACATAGTTATATAACTCTAGTGAAAAACAATTATAGTTATATGACTACTTAAGAAATTTACTCGTATATTTGTTAACTATAATGATTTCAGTAACCACTGTATGGACCAATTGTAGCTAAAGGAAAATTTTAGACCATTAGCAAAGTTCAAAAACAAATGCGACCCTTTTTTTCTAATAATATTATTAGTGTTTAATATATCTATAAAATATTTTTCAATCACCAAACGAACACTAGAAAACATTCTTTAGAAAGATATTTATTTCATAAAAAATGACTTCTGTCGTACCAAACTTAATCTTTTATCCTAAAAGTTTTGCATTAATTGCTCCTTTTAATTCATTGTTTAAAATTTGTACAAATGCCGTGGCATCCAAGGAAAGTTGCATCAACCAAGTTTTAATACGAAGGACGAGTAATTATGATATTAATTATGTACGGTTATATATATGTACTGACCAATTATATATCCAGTGTTTGTTGACTAATTGTCATCAAAAAACAAAAACAAAATATGTTGGGAAAATTTTCAGAGCAAGCAGAAATAAATGCATCAGCAAGTGAAGTGTGGAATCTCTATTCCACTATTCAATTTGTCAAATTTCTTGTTGAAAAACACATTGTTGAAAAGATTGAGTTTATTGAAGGCAATGGTGGCATTGGTTCAGTCCTGCAAGTTAGTAAGTCATTTTACTTCAAAATCCTATTAAAAATATTTTCATTCCATTGATTATTCTTGATTTTTATTTTCTTGTTGTAACTTTTTTTGGAATGGAGGTGGAAATCCGGAAAAAAAATTATTCGTTGTGTTTGTTGTAACTCGATAAATACAAGACTCGTCTCTCATACACACATATTTATCACTTAACCATAATTGAGGTGCAATGTTATAAATTCTTATATTTACACATATATTAATCCAGATTCGCAACACATATGGTCCATTTTGAGGATTCTTTGTGGGTTAACACACATTACATTACTTTTTCCTTCTGGTTCTTATTTTTTACGTGATAATTTGGTAAATTATTTAACTTTATTGACGATTTTCTATTTTGTTTGGACCAAATATATTAGCTCTTCCTCGTAATGCTCCATATAAAGAGAAATTCGTCTCAATAAATGATGAAAAACGAGTGAAGGAAATCGAGGTGGTTGAAGGGGGATATCTTGATGTAGGATTCAGTTTCTATGGGTTTAAGTTTGAAGTTATAGAGAAGGATGAGAATTCATGCATCGTGAAAATTACCATTGAATTTGAGACTAAAGATGTTGAAAATATTCATCTTACTCTTGGCAATCTCCCAGTCTTTGTTGCCATCTTGAAAGCTACTGTTGAACATTTCAACGAGAAGAACAAGTAAATGTAATCCAGTTTTTATTGGACTTTATGCATCTTTATAATTATAATTTCTGCTCTTTCAAGTAATGTAATGTATTTTGATGGACTTATAAGTGTTGGATGTCATTATTGTTGGTGATTGAATAAAACATTATACATGGCTCGTGTTTTATGAATTTTGGTCTCCGTGTGATCTATAGGTCACGGGTTCGAGCCGTGGTAGCAGCTACTAATATTTGCATTAGGTTGGCTTTCTATATCACACCCGCGGCCCTTCCCTGAACCCTGCGTAAACGCAGGATACCTTGTGCAGCAGGCTGCCCCTTATTTTTACCTTTGCAATGAGACGAATCATTCTCAATGCTTAAGATTTTTTGGTTTTATTTAAGACTCGTATGCCAGACAAATTTAATCTAGACTTGAGTTTGAAGAGAACCCTCAAGGTAAACACTTAGTGCGGCTAAATTTTTACCGGTAGGCTTGAGTTAGATTAATTTTGGAAAATACTAATATTCGAGCTCATCAAAACACAAAAATTGTAAGTTAGGTTTAAATATTAGGCTCAAATTTGTTTTTAAGCTTTAAAGATCTCCCAAGTGGATTTTTTCTTATTTAATTTGCAATGAGAGGACATTCATATATTCATGTTCGTATTTACTCCATTTAGGTCGAGATATGAACAATTTACCTTTTTTAATTAAGATTTGCTGTTATAATAAAAATATGAATAATTCGAAGCATATCTTTTAAATTTTAATTTTATCATATAGAGTTAAATTTAAGAAATAAATAACAAAAAATATATCGTTTTAATATTAAACGTAGACCATGTTTTAAAAAGAAAAAAATTATATCTCGTTACTTCAACTAGAAATAGTACTTCTATTAGCAGATGACTTCATCTGAATTGATTTTACCATTCCCCATCTGGGAATAGATTGCATTCCTGAAATGACAAAAGATCTACATACTTAGCATAATTGAGTTTTTTTCCTGTAGAAGAAAATTAAAAATCTCTCATATATAACTTGTCATTTTTCTTAGGAAAAAAAGTTGGACTTCTATAATTGAGGATCCCTCGTCTGCTAGCATTCACAATATATGTTAGGACCGAAAAAGTCAAGTGTCATGCGAAAACTAGTAAAGTAAACCTTCAACGACGATAAATGAGACAACAAAAGAGAAATCTACCAAAAGAGACGAACATAGTTCGGTCAACTGACCTACGTCCATGACGGAGATGAGCAATCTACTATATAAAAGAGAGTACAAAAATTGAGAGAACAGCCTCATGAAGAGGCAAACACAAGTGACACACCAACATTTATCTCGTAAAATTCTTCCCCCAAACATGACTCTCGTAGACAAGGAATTAGGGATTGGATTAAAAGATGGTTGGATTTTATCGGGCTGGGCATGGTTAATTATACATAACCAGGGTTAAAAGAAATGTAGGGTCAAGTAAAGAAGAACCAGTAATATAAAGACACGTGGCAAAGGTAAGGTCAAAAAATTAATTCTTATTATTTAAAAAATAAAAAATGGATCTGTTAGTCGACAATGGTATAAATAGGCCAAAAATATAACGTTAGTGATATGAATAGGGCAACCTTTTAATGGATGATATAGATAGGCCATTTATGTTAGTTGAGTTGCATTTTTAGGTCTTTTCCGTTATGCTAATTAATGGTGGTTATACTGGCGGAGCACGACGGCAACCCGCAAAAATAAATTTTCTTAAGATTAATTATTTCGGGATTGTTATCCCACCTTTCCATAGAGATATAATATATCTCATGATAACTAATTTCAAAATTAGTTTTATCGCAACTTTATCCCAATCAAACGTGAATAAACTCATCTTAAATTTAATCCCGAAATTAATTATCTTTCATCCCTCGTACCAAGTAAGACTTTTAGTAAGTTATAGTTTGTACAAGGATATTAAAGGGTGTTTGGATTGACTTTTAAGCTGGACAAAGCAACTTTTAAGCTTTTTCTTAGCTTTTTTCAGTGTTTGGCAAAGTCAAAAAGTGCTTAAAATAAGTTAAAAACTGCTTAAAGTAAGCCAAAAGCAATAATTTTGGCTTAAAAGCTATTTCTGCTGAAAAGCTACTTTTTTAAGCCAATCCCAACAGGCTCTTAATTGTGAACTTATTATATGTTCAATTTTTTGCTTGTGTCATACTGCCTCTTTTTCAATTTATGTAAATATATTTTACTGAACAAGAAATTTAAGAAAAGAAGCATATATATGTTGTGTAACTATAAATTATTGCATAAAAATAAATTGTTTTCAAATAAGAAAGTAGGGAAGAAAGGAGTCACGGAGATATTGATTTATTACGAGGATTTCTGGAATACAGAAAGAAATTACACGAAATCTGTCGATGGCTGCATCCGCCTAGTTTGAATTTGACACAAAATGTTTTGAGGAAAACTAATGCAAGAGGGTTCATAGAAAATGCACAAAGGAACGTCAAATTTTCTTTCTAACAATACTAGTAGTCGTACCCGCGCCCAATATTAAAAAAATATTAATTAAATTAAATTATGATCAGACTTGTTTGATCCTATTAGATCGTATTGCTTTAATAAAATTCAATTGTCATTTTGTTTGTCAATACTGTATTGGGAAAAAACTGAGTTTATATTAAAGATGATGTGGCATGACACGTGGATTAGTTAAATGGTCAAAGCGCAACAATTGACTAAAGAGGCACGGATGGAGACAGCCACGGGAAGAAGAATTTAAATAGGCACGAGACGACGTATAGATACGAGTCTCGTACCACTTTAAATTATTTACAGCCAACGGATTAGAAGGCATTGAAGGCAAAGATCTGATGACAGAAAGGAGTCCAAATTCATTATTAAATACTTGATACGTTACAAAATTGGTATTTAATAGGAATGATTGTATAACGGCTTATTTAATGTCATTTATTACTCATGATTATATCATTAAAGCTGAGGCTTCATTCCTTTACCTAGAATTATCTATAAAAGGAAGAAGTATCATCATTTGTAAGGACACGGAATACTATTGAGAATTTATTGAAATACACATCTATTTGTTTTTACCATCGTTCTCAAAAGTATTTTATTTTTGTCTCCTGATTATCAGTAACCCGAATTTCTTTTTAGCTTTGACCAAAGACTCAGATTTTTGGTTAAACAAATTGGTTCCGTTACCGGGAATCTGATAATCTTTCCTTTTAAGCTATATCTTATCTATTGTCGTCACCATGTCAAACAACAACGCCGACAACAATAGTAATAACACATTGGGAAACCATGAGAATCAAATACATCAAAATCAAGATAACGTGGTTCCCTCTCCTCTAAATTTACCACGTCAATCTCGTGAAGGCACTCCTGTTACTGAATCCCGTGCTGATCAACAAGAGCAATCTGAACATTTTGAAGGAGTTACAACTGAAGCTTTGCAAAAGCTAATTGATGCACAGGTCGGCAAAGCTCTTCAGGCACTTGTTAGTCGATTGCCTGCTGCGCCACCTACACCAACTCCTAATAATAATACATTGGAGAACCCCCGTTCTGGTCTTGATAATTCTGGAAACGGAGCAACCCCCAGTGAACCACAAGAAGGGGGACCAGGTAATTTAAATAATTCGTATTTGCAAAATTTAGTACTAACCTTGCAGAAACAGCTTAAGGAACAAAATGAGCGTATTGAACAAATCCCTGGAGTTCCACCTGTAATAAAAGGAGTAGACATGGACAAATACTCACAACAACCATGGAAGCCTAGTGCTGCTCCCCTTCCAATTCCGAAAAAGTTCAAAATGCCTGACATCCCGAAATATGATGGTACTACAGACCCACGTGACCACGTGACTGCATTTACAACCGGCGTAAAAGGCAACGACTTGACCAAACAAGAAATTGAATCAGTATTGGTCAAGAAATTTGGAGAAACACTCACCAAGGGTGCATTAACCTGGTATTCTCTTTTATCTGAAAATTCTATTAATTCTTTTGCTGAGCTTGCAGATTCTTTTATTAAAGCACATTCGGGAGCACAAAAGGTTGAGAAAAGGATGGAAGATATTTTCAAAATCAAACAAGGGGATTCGGAGTTGCTTAGAAACTTCGTTGATAGATTCCAGCGTGAAAGAATGACTCTACCTCGTGTGCCTGACAATTGGGCTGCTATAGCTTTTGCAAGTAATTTAAATGACAAAAGTTCTGAAGCCACGAGACGACTCAAAGAAAGTCTTCGAGAATTTACTGCAACCACATGGAATGATGTTTACAACATGTATAGCACGAAGCTGCGAATCGAAGAAGATACCATACCTAAGCTCCATCATGAAGAAAGGGGCGGTACCCGAAGGTCAGAAACCGAAAAAAGATCAGGTAAAAATAGGTACGATCCATATATGGGACCCGCAGGATAGGACCCACGGTCGAAATAAGATAGCCAGCAATATGATCAAAAATCGAGGAACCGGGATTCTGGCTCTTCTTCAAAGTTTAGGAATGATCGGAACAGACAAGAATCACGAGATGATGACAGGAATTTAAAGGCATGATTCGGTGGATATAATTTTAATGTCTCTACCTCCGAGCTCGTAGCTGTTTTAAGAAGCATAGGAGATAAGGTACGGTGGCCAAAAGAGATGCGGTCAAATCCAAGTAGACGCAATCCGGATCATTGGTGCGAATTTCACAACGATCACGGGCACAAAACTTCAGAATGTAGATTCCTGCAGAGTGAAGTGGATCATTTATTGAAGCAAGGGTACCTCATTGAGTTATTTTATGAGAAAGGAAAACAAGCTTATATGAAAAACAGACAAGAGCCACCACAACCTCCTTCACCCAAGAGGACAGTGAATGTCATAAGCAGGGGAAAGGACATTCACGGCGTAACCTACACAGCCTCCAACAAGGTTTCTAAGGTAACAATTACACATG